TCTCCCACCAAGCACAAGCCCCATGCCAGATGTAGTCGCTAGGTACTTCGCCACCCTCACAGCAGCCGTCCAGTGAACAGGACGCAGTCTCCTAGTCGCAACAAAGTGAGAAAGAACGCTGAGGGGAAAGGCGAGGTCCGGACGCGTACAAGTCATCGGGTACATGAGGCAGCCCACAAGCTCTGGGTAGGGGCCACTAGGCTCAAATGGCTCGTCAGGAAAAGAGCCGGTGAGTCTGTCGTCTACGGCAAGAGGAGTGGGCTGTGTGGTGGAGTGTTGAAGCCTGAACCGCCGAAGGACCTGCTGCACCATGTGTGACTTTGAGAGTGTAATGGTGCAAGAGGCTGTCCCTGGTGATCTGCAGGCCGAGGTAGCGCCGCAGTTCACCGAGGTCAGTGCACGTGTGTCTCTTTTGCAGTTTAGAATTCACCATAGACAGAGGTGTCCGTTCAGCTGTAACGAAGACCAAGTCATCGACGTAGACCAGGATAAAGAACGGAGTGGAGCCGGAGCGAACAAACAGCGACGGGTCAGCAGAAGAAGGGTGAAACCCAAGGTCACGAAGCATGGAACGCAGAGTGTCGTGCCACTCACAGGGCGACTGGCGGAGACCGTAGACTGGTCGCCTCAGGCTCCACTGGGTCCCAGGTGGGAAGGTGCCCGTGAAGCCAGGAGGACGTCGCAGCCAGATCTCCTCGTGCGGTCGTCTCTGAAGGAAAGCAGTGGAGAAGTCGAGGAAGTGCAGCTCGTAGTCTCGCTGTGCTGCTACGTGAAGTAACACCCGAAGAGTAGTCATCTTCGGGGTCGGGGCGAAGGTCTGAAAGAAGTCAACCCCCTCGCGCTGAATGAAGCCCCTCGCCACATAGCGCGCCTTGAACACTGGTGGTGATCCAGGCGGTCGCTTCACCCTGAAAAGTCACATGCCATCGACATTCGCCCGGGGAGGGGGAACTGCGTCGGCGTACGTGCCTGTGGATCTCCAAGACGCCAACTCTGAGTCCATGGCCGCCTTCCACTGAGAGGCCCACGGCCCTGAGACTGCCTCGCGGTACGTGCGCGGAATCGGTATGTCAAGGGCGTCGGGGTCCCCCTCAGGGGAAAGCATCATGGCACACAGAGAGGGGGAAGTGGCTGCCAAGAACTCCAGCTCAAACTGCCTGTCCTCTAGGACGTCACAGCCAAGGGCAAACTCACCCCCGACGGACAGAGGACGAGGAGGAGGAGCAGCCACCACGCGGGTGGCGTAGTCAAGGCGGCGGGTGGCGGCAAAGTCAGTGACGGCGGCAGTAAGAGCCGAGACAGACGACACAGAGGCACGAGGGTTCGTGACAAGAGAGGCAAGAACACGTGTTACAACAGGGCGAGCAGCACGGTAGTAGTCAAAGATAGGGGTAGAGGTGGAGGCTGTAAGAGACGACTCAGGAGGCGACGGGAGAAGAGATACAGTGGGAGAACGTCGAGGACTAGAACGAAACAAGACAGTGCGGAGGTCATAAGAAGGAGATGAGGGACGAGCACGCGGGGGACAACGAGTGGTCCAGTCGTGCGAGACAACAGGAGGAGGCGACGGTGACCGAGGGGGAGGGAAAACAGTCGGAGTCGAATCCGGAGGAGGAAACGTAGGACCGTACGCGGTAGGAGACTGTGAGAGGACAGGAGGAGAGGAAGGTAGACCAAGGTCCCGAAGGCCACTCACAGGAGGGAACAACTGCTGCAAAAGTGGCGGCTGCTGCGACTACTGCTTCTGCTGCTGCACAATTTGCAGCTGCTTCGGCGGCTACTGCTGCGGCTGCTGCTGCTGCTGCTGCTGCTGCTGCTACTACTGCTGCTGCTCCTCCTCCTCCTCCTCCTCCTCCTCCTCCTCCTCCTGCTGCTCCTGCAAGTCCAAATGCTGCAGCTCCCACCTCTCCCGCTCTAACCGCTCCTGCTCCTCACGCTCACGGTGGCGAGCCGCCTAGAGACGTGTGTTGTGGCGAAGGGGAGGCGCAGTAGTAGTGCCTCCAGCGCCAGTATCCTCAGAACTAGCACTGCCAGCTCCAGCACCCCCACAAATAGAACCTCTAGTGCCAGCACCTCCCGATCAGGCACCCCCAAAACTAGCACCTCCAGTGCCAGCACCCGCTGCTCCAGCACCCCCAAAACTAGCACCACTAGTCCAAACACCTCCAGCTCCAGCACCCCCCGAACTAGCACCTCCAGTGCCAGCACCTCCAGCTCCAGCACCCCTCAAAGGAGCACCCCCAAACCGAGCACCTCCAGTGGCAGCACCTCCAGTGGCAGCACCTCCAGCTCCAGCACCCTCTGATTCCACAGTAACCTGTCACGGACGTGCCGACGGCTGCTAGGGGGACTGTGAGAAGGACTGCGGGGAGGGAGACGCTACCTGACGCACGACCGAGGGTAGAGGGGTAGCGTGAGACACACCAGACGGGGCAGGACCAGGGGGGGGCGGGGGTACCGGAGGAGCGGGAGCAGGAGGAGGAGAGGGTGCTAGGAAAAGAGGAGGAGGGGGGACTGGGAGACCTCGACAGGGGTACCGGGTGTAATAGAACACTGTCTCGTCAAACCAGACGTCACGGGAGTCTAAGAAACGGTGGAGGGGTGGGTGGTAAAAGGTGTAGTTGGAGGAGTCCACCGGGAAACCAAGGAAGGCACAGGGGATGGCGCGAGCTGAGAGCTTGTCCGCAGAGGCGTCGCGGACAAGCGCAAGCCAGCCCCAGATTCGAAAGGCCGAACCAACACCAGGGGATCCTGTCCAAAGACTGGTCGGTGAAGCCCCCGGCCGCGAGACACGCGGCTGGAGGTTCAGCTGGTGGGCTGCGTAGCGAACATCGTAGGGCCACAGAAAATGGGGCGCACGGGCATGGATCATGGAGGTGCGGGCAATATCCATGACCAAGCCAATGCGGCGCTCAGCGACCCATTCTGCTGTGGGGACTCTGGCAGCGTCCAGGACTACGCGATGCCCTGTTCGCCGCAGAATCTGGCAAGCACGTCGGAGCGAAACTTATCCCCACGGTTGGAGTGGAGACAACTGACGCGACGACCATGAGTGTCCTCAGTGGCCAAGAGCCACCGGATCAGCGAAGAAGTGACCTCGGACTTCTTCGCAAGAGGAAACACCGTGGTGTTCATGGAGTAGTCGTCAACGACCACTAGAAAGAAGCGCTCCCTCTCGGGCCCAGCACGAGGGGCTAGGCCCCAGACGTCCAAGTGGAGGGTCTGGAAGGGAGCGCTGGCGGGACGAAGGGAGGAGTGAGGAGTGGCGCGCAGCCGACCCTCGACGCAAGGAGAGCACGGCGGTACATGCGAACGGGGGAGCGACTCAAAGACCTGCGGGAGACCAGAGACCAGACGCTGGCTGGCCATGCTACGGAGGCGTGGGAGGGACGGGTAACCAAGACGGTGGTGCCACAAGACTGACGGGTGGGAGAGTGAACGACAAGAGCAGGACGCAGCAACTAGACCAGAAACAGTAACCTGAGGGGACGCAGTAACCTGACTGGACTCAGCTACCTGGGAGGACGTAGTAACCTGACCGGACTCTGCCACCTGGTGGGACGCAGTGTGCAGAACGAAAAGACCTGAGTGAGGCTCCCTGGTGAACGTGGCAAGAACTGCTCCGGTAGAAGCGTCTGTACAAATCGCGGTCCTCCTGTGCGCAGGAAAAGTGACTGTGATCCCACGGACGTGAAGGTATCCAACACCCACCAAGTTCCGAAAGAACTAGGGGATGTAGAGACCAGTGAGGGAACCAGAGGGGACAGCCGGGCACGGAAGGGTGGTAGAACTGCGAGCGAATGCTGGTCCTGAAGTAAGATCAGCCAGAGCAACTGAGACCGGAGCAGCAAGAGGTGTGACAGAGGTGTAGTCGCAGAAGAAGCACTGGGACGCGCTAGACTCCAGCGTGAACGAGAGAGACGCGTCAGCAATCGTCACAGCCACACTTGTAACTACACAAGCACCTACACTAGAAGCACAAGCACCTACACTAGCAACAGGCAAAGGTCCCAAGCTAGGTACACGCAAGTCAAGAGATCTATACGTGACAGAATCATCAGCCTCCATAGACATATCAAACATATGGTAACCACTACGAGACAAACCAGGCCAGATCAGCAGAACCGAGTCAGGCCCAAATCGCTCACGGTAAAGGTCGTCAAGGCGGCTGTAGCAGCGCAGTACAGAGTGGTCAGGACGCCAGCAAGTTGTGCCAACACGAGGTCCGGTCAGGATCCGGTACTGGCAGGGGCCGACGTCGTGGCCACCGTGACGAGCCCCCTAGCTGGCTGGGCCGCTGCTGCACCCAACGCCGCCCGAATCACTAGGTCCTCACTGCTGCTGAGGGCGCCACTGCTCCTGAGGGCGCCACTGCTGCTGAGGGTGCCATTGCTGCTGAGGGCGCCGCTGCTGTGTAGGGCGCCACCGCTGAAACTGCTGCTGCTGCTGTACCTGCTGCTGTAAAACTCTAGTGGACGCCATGGTAAAGACTAGCTGGGCGTTGGAGCGGCAGAACGCGGAAACGCCGGGCTAGAAACTACTAACGATAGGAGCAGCTGGAGCTAGAAACGACTGGAGCAAGGCACGGCTGGAGCAAGGCACGGCTGGAGCAAGGCACGGCTGGAGCAAGGCACGGCTGGAGTAAGGCACGGCTGGAGCAAGGCACGGCTGGAGTAAGGCACGGCAGGAGCGAGGCACTGCAGGAGCGAGGCACGGTAGGAGCGAGGCACGACTGGAGCAAGGCACGGCTGGAGCAAGGCACGGCTGGAGAAAGGCACGGCTGGAGCAAGGCACGGCTGGAGCAAGGCACGGCTGGAGCAAGGCATGGCTGGAGCAAGGCACGGCTGGAGCAAGGCACGGCTGGATCGAGGAACGGCTGGACCGAGGCACGGATGAAGCGAGGCACGGCTGGAGCGAGGCACGGCTGGAGCGAGGCACGGCTGGAGCAAGGCACGGCTGGAGCAAGGAACCCTAAATCCTGACAGGAGGGTGGGAGAAGGATGGAACGCCAAAGGTACACTAAAACTAGAAGTAGCGGCCTCCAGCCGCGGCGGAGGGGAGCACGGAGAGAAGGAGCGGTAGAGGACGAGAAAACCTACGGTGAGAATGCCCGGGAAGGGCTTGCTAAGGGCCTAGGCGCCTCGGGCAGTGCTGCTGTGGGCGGCTGGGAAGGCCTGTGGCGCCGCTCAGTTGGGGTGCGCGCTGCTCTGTAGGGTGGCGCGCACTGTTCTGCAGGGGCGAGCGCTGCTCTGCAGGGGCGTGCGCTGCTCTGCAGGGTGACGCGCGCAGCTCTGCTGGGTGGCGCGCTGCTCTGCAGGGGCGCGCGCTGCTCTGCAGGGTGGCGTGCGCTGCTCTGCAGGGGCGCGCGCTGCTCTGCAGGGGCGCGCGCTGCTCTGCAGGGGCACGCGCTGATCTGCAGGGTGGCGCGCTGCTCTGCAGGGGCGCGCGGGCAGCGGGCGCATTGCGAGCTAGGCGCACGAGCGACGGGCAGATTGCGAGCTAGGCGCACGGGCGACGGGCGGATTGCGAGCTAGGCGCACTGGCGACGGGCGGATCGCGGGCTGGTGGCTAGGGGCGCGCGAGGAAACGGGGGGCGCGCGCGGCTGGCTAGGGGCGCGCGCTACTGGCTGAGGGGCGCGCGCGGTTGGCTAGGAGGGACGGACGGAGCGAGATAACCTAGGAGAGAGCATAGGGTAAGGTCGTAGGAGTTAATATAGCGTGATACCATCTCAAAGTAGCTTAGCGGAATGTCAAAGCAAGGAGATAATTGTGCATGTCTAGAAAGTGTTGTACCCTTAAAAGGGCAACTCACTGTAGCCTGGACTAAGTAACAATATATAAGGAACAGTAACATTTGATAACACGCCCTAAAACTTTGGGAATTGCCCTCATCTTGATATTGTCCTCCTCGCCATCATCCCTCTCGGCCCCTCGTCCATCCATCTGCTCCCTACCAGGCCTGTCGCTTGTAGGGCGTTTGCCCTGCTGGACCTTGAATTCCAGGGTTGGGTTGCCCTTGGAAACTGATATTGATGGGTTGGAAAAAATCTGGCCCGGATTCTTTACAGGGCAGATTTTGGGTAAAAGGTAAAGGGCAAAATCTTTTAGGCGAGCCCTGTAACAAAATCTTTCGAGCCCCCGCCCCCACCAGGGCTGACGCTATCAGACTAAATACTCTGATTAGTCTGAGGAATCAGACTGTCTAGGCGCTGGAAAATGATAATTCAGATTACTTGATTTCTTGTCCCTGAGAGAGTCATACATGTCAAACATTATATGTTTCTACTTTGTAGGCTGTAGTGGGGCTTGCCTTAGAGGGGATACAACTTAGGGTTTTCCATATGTATCCCCCTTTCATTCCTAATCCCATCATTCCCTCGTTCATTCTTCACATGGTATAGAGCGGGTTCCCTAGTGGGACCGTTTTTTTTTTTTTAAGGGCCCACCGCTTAATATTTTTTTCTGCCCTGCCCGAAGCGCGCTCCCTGCCCTGTCGAGCGCCTCGCGCCTGCCTTACCTGCGCCCCGTGCGCCTTACTTGTGCCCCGTGCGCCTGCCCTGCCGTCGCGGCCCTGACTAGAGCCGTCGCGGCCCTGCCGTCGCGGCCCCCTGGCCGTCGCGCCCCCTGCCGTCGCGGCCCCTGCTGTCGCGGCCCCTGCTGTCGCGACCCTGCCGTCGCGGCCCCTGACGTCGCGGCCTCTGCCGTCGTGGCCCCTGCCGTCGCGGCCTCTGCCGTCGTGGCCCCTGCCGTCGCGGCCCCTGCCGTCGCGGCCTCTGCCGTCGCGGCCACTGCCGTCCAGCCCCTGCCGTTGCGGCCCCTGCCGTCGCGGCCCCTGCCGTCGCGGCCCCTGCTGTCGCGGCCCTGTTTGAGGCTGTCGTGGCCCTGCCGCCCTGCCGTCGCGGCCCTTCCTGAAGCCGCCCTGCTGTCGCGGCCCTGCCTGCTGCTGCCGCGGCCCTTCCTACTGCCGCTGTTGCGGCCCTGCCTACTGCCGCCGTCGCTGCGGCCCTACCCTGCGCCCGCGTCGCCGCCCTTCACTGCCGCCTCGTTGCAGCCCTGCCTGACGCGGCCCTGACCTGCCGGCGCGCCTCGGCCCTGCCCTTCCAGCTGCGGCCCTACCCCGATCCCGCCCTGGTAAGCGCACTGCTGCACCCGCGCCGCCCTGCCGAGCCGCGCAGCCCTGCCGAGCCGCGCCGCCCTACCGAACCGCGCCGCCCTACCGAGTCGCGCTGCTCCTGCTACTGCTGCTGCTGCTACTGCTACTGCTACTGCTGTCATGGCTGCCCCTAATGTAATTTCCTTCGATGCTGAGGGTCGGGCAGTTGATTTAGAGGTCTGGGTCGATGATCTGCAGCTGTTTCTGCAGTGCGATAGCAAGGACGGAGTCTCGCTTTTTGATCTCACGTCTGGCGCCTCTGCTGCACCTGCTGCTGATGCTGACAGTGCTGTTCGCTCAGAGTGGACCATGCGCGATGCTGCTGCCCGTCTTGCTATTCGTAGTCACCTGCCGTCTGCTGAGCGCGCGCAATTTAGCCAGTACAAGACCGCTAGGACTCTGTACGACACTGTTGTTGCGCGCTACTCCTCCCCTGCCACTGCTGCCCTTAGCCGCCTCATGCTGACGTACCTGTTCCCTGACCTAGCCGCTTTTGCCACAGTCGCTGACCTCATTACGCACCTCCGCACTAGTGACACCCGCTACCGCGCTGCGCTTCCTGCCGAGTTCTGCGCCAAGAACCCCCCCCCTATGTATATCACTCTCTACTACCTCGTCACCCGGCTCCCTGACTCCCTTCGCTCGGTCAGGGACCACTTCCTCTCCCTTTGCCCCACCACGCTCACCGTTGACCTCCTCGAGGAGCACCTCCTTGCAGCCGAGAAGAGTATAGTCGCTGTAGGAGCCTCTCGTGGTGACCCCCGTGCCCCTTTCTTTGAGGGGTGCTCCCCCGTCCCTCTTTTGCCCTCTGTTGCCTCTGCTGCTGCTGTCGACCTCGTTGGCACCGAGTCGGTCGGCGCTGCGTCTGCTCCTAGTGGGAGGCGCCGCTACGGCAAGGGCAAGGGGGGCAAGAGTGGTGGAGGGGATGGCGGGGGCGGCGGTGGTGGCGGTGGAGGCGGCGGAGGGGGTGGGGGTGGAGGTGGGAGTGGTGGCGGGAGTGGGGGCTTCGGTGGCGGCGGTGGAGGTGGAGGCGGCGGAGGCAGCGGCAGTGGGGGTGGAGGTGGCGGCGGCGGCGGCGGCGGTGGGGGTGGCGGAGGCGGTGGTGCTGGTCGGGGTGGCGCTGTGCAGCGGGGAGGCCAGCGCCAGCAGCAGCAGCGCCCCCGTGAGACCCCGTCGCCCCAGCAGCTTCGTGAGTGGTACGCTGGGCGTGGGAGGTCTGGGGGTGCTGGTCCTGGCACTTACGTTCTCCGCACCGGCGACCGCAGTGGAGAGACGTGCGGCGGTCCGCACGCCACGCTCCGCTGTTTCGGCCGCCTGACTGACGCCTGGCGTACACAGTTCCCTGACGCCACTGAGATCCCTCGCTGGGGTGATCTGCTTAAGTCGGGGGTTGCTATCTTTGATCTTGATTATGATGCTATCCTTGCTGCTATGTATGCTGTGTCTATTAGTGCTGAGGGTGACTGTTACCTGTGTGTTCCGCCCGACCCGGGCATTGAGGCTGCTGCTCTAGGTGCTAGAGAGTCTGCTGCTCCAGGTGCTGGTGAGGCTGCTCTCTCAGGTACCGCGTCGGCTCAGGTCTTGCACACTTTCACCCTTGACTCGAGTGCTTCCCGCTCCTTCTTTCGCGACTGCACCACACTCTCGCCGCTCAGTCGGCCGGTGGCAGTCTCTCTGGCTGACCCCTCTGGGGGTCCGGTCCTCGCACACTCCTCCACGATTCTGCCGTGTCCGGCGGTCCCGTCTGGCTCTTTGTCTGGCCTCCACCTCCCCTCGTTCTCCACGAACTTGGTGAGTGGAGCTGACCTTCAGGACGCGTGGGTTGACCAGTTCACTCCTGGGGGTCAGCGGGTGACCCACTGTTCGTGTACTCGGACGGGCCGGCACCTGGCCACGTTCGCTCGTCAGCCTGGGTCGAGCCTGTACACCCTGACTACCGTGTCTCCTCCGGTTGCTGAGTCTGGTCAGGTAGCCGCGTCGGGTCAGGTGTTTGCTGCAGCGTCCCGGTCTGGTCCTGAGTCTGCCCCCTGCTCGTGTCGCCTCCTGTCTCACCAAACTCTCCTCTGGCACCACCGCCTTGGTCACCCCTCCCTGCCTCGTCTCCAAGGCATGGCCTCCCGTGTCCTTGTCTCTGGTCTCCCCCGGTCCCTCCCTCCCCTTCCTCCGGGGCCTGCCCCTACCTGCGTTCCTTGCGTCGAGGGCCGGCAGCGCGCCGCTCCTCACTCCTCCGAGTTTCCTCCGACAGAGGCTCCGCTGCAGACTCTCCACATGGACGTGTGGGGCCCAGCCCGCGTCCGTGGACAGGGTCACGAGCGTTACTTCCTGCTGGTTGTTGACGACTACTCGCGTTACACCACAGTCTTCCCCTTGCGCCGCAAGGGTGAGGTCACTGAGGTGTTGATCGACTGGATCCGCGCTGCCCGTCTCCAGCTCAGAGAGAGTTTCGGCTCGGACTTTCCTGTTCTGCGTCTGCACTCCGACAGAGGTGGAGAGTTTTCCTCCGGCCTTCTGCGAGCCTTCTGTCGTGCGGAGGGCATCTGCCAGACGTTCACGCTTCCGGCCTCTCCACAGCAAAATGGGATTGCTGAGCACCGCATTGGCATGGTCATGGACGTCGCTCGTACGTCCATGATCCATGCGGCTGCTCCCCATTTTCTATGGCCGTTCGCGGTTCAGTACACGGCGCATCAGATCAACCTCCAGCCCCGGGTCTCCATGCCGGAGACCACCCCTACTCTGCGGTGGACGGGGAAGGTTGGCGATGCGTTTGCGTTCTGTGTCTGGGGATCTCGAGCTTTCGTCCGCGACTTGTCTGCGGACAAGCTGTCCTCCCGTGCTGTTCCCTGCGTCTTCCTTGGCTTCCCCCCTGACGCGCCTGGTTGGCAGTTTTACCACCCCACCTCGTGCCGTGTTCTGTCTTCTCAGGACGTCACGTTTGATGAGTCGGTTCCTTACTACCGTCTCTTCCCCTACCGCACTGCCCCCCTTCCCCCGCCGCCGCTCTTCCTCGCGCCAGGTCCCCCCCCGGTAGACCCCCTCCCCCCTCAGGGTCCTGCCCCCTCAGGTGTGTCCCAGGTAGACGCAGTCGAGCCTGTCGAGGTAGCTGTTGACTCTGGTGCTGCTAGGGGTGCTGAGCCTGCGGGTGCCGAGTCTAGGGGTGCTGAGCCTGGGGGTGCTGAGCCTGGGGGTGCTGAGCCTGGAGTTGCTGAGTCTGGGGGTGCGGAGCCTGAGGGTGCTGAGCCTGCGCATGCAGAGCCCGGGGGTGCTGTGTCTGGGAGTCCTTCGGGTGCCTCGTCCCTGCGTGAGCCGCGCTCTCCACGGCAGCTGCGCGAGTGGTTTGCTCGGCGCTG